TTCCTCTCATCCTGAGAGCCGGCGGGCGCGCGAGGGAGCACTCTCCTCTGTGTGCTTCCTCTTCAGCTCCCTCGCGCGCCGCGTACTGATGCCAGCGCCGGAAGATGACGTCATCTTCCGGCTCCGGCATCAGTACGGTGCGCAAAGGCATTATATTTATCTAATATATAAATGTAGATCTTTTCACTGCTCCTCCTGATTTTCACACTAGATCTGTGAACCAAATGGTTGGAAAATGTTCCTTTCAGCGTACTGCAAAATATATTCAAAGTATTCTACTTTGCAGTACGCTGATTGGTCCATTTTAGTTCGTTTTTTTTTTCTTTTATGGTTCCTGAATTGGAATCTCCGCTCCAAAATTCTGCTGAGCCAAACCAACATTCAACCGAAATTCAGGTTTCCAGAATTTATTTTTATTTTCGGAAACAATGTTTTGCTTGAATATTTACCAGCATGCAAATGAAGAGAATCATAAATTTTTTATTAAAAATGTTTTGCTTTCAAACCGATGTATAAAAGTTTTTTCCTACCTTTGCTACAACACACACTGGCTCTGTGATCGTCCCTAAAAGTTTCTATTAAACTGAATTGCAGTTCTTATGGCGATACTGTCAGTGTTATTCAATAAAGTGAGAATCAAGGTGAAATCAAAGGTTAAGTTGAATTTGGTCGAAATAGCCAAAGTAGAAAAAAAAATAGCCCGTCTTTCTGTTTGTCTGGCTTCACTTTTAAAGGGAAACTGCCACACTGTTATGTTTAGTTAAATCTATGTTTAACAAATACACCCTGTTCCAAATTATTATGGAAATGATATTTTTCTAATTTACCTAAATAATTGATGTAAATAACAGTCAGCATAATTCTCATGTTATCAACTTTTAAGAGTATAATTCAAATGTTATTGAACAAACCTCCTAATGATAACAGTATTTTTTTAAACATAAAATGCTTACAATGCACTGTTCCAAATCATTACGCACAGTAAGTTTCAAACCACTTTACAGATTGTAAATGTTTACTGAAATCAAAAGCTATTTCAATCAAACTTAGAACAACATTTTAACTTTTTAAACAGGTCACGTTACATTTTGATATAGGACCCCTTATTTGATAGCAGCTTCACAAGTCTTGCATTCATTGAACTTGTGAGTTTTTGGACAGTTTCTGCTTGAATTTGTTTGCAAGATGTCAGAATAGCCTCCCAGAGCTGCTGTTTGGGTGTAAACTGCCTCCCACCCTCATAGATCTTTTGCTTGAGGATGCTCCAAAGGTTCTCAATAGGATGGAGGCCACACCATGGCTTTCTCTCCTTTTTTCCCCATAGCAGCCATTGATGCAGAGGTATTCTTTGCAGCATGAGATGGTGCATTTTCATGCATTAGAGATGATTTTATTATGGAAAGCATAGTTCTTCCTTCTGTACCAGGGAAGAAAGTGGTCAGTCAGAAACTCCACATACTTTGCAGAAGTCATAATTACACCTTCGGGGACCCTAAAGGGGCCGACCAGCTCTCTTCCCATGATTCCGGCCCAAAACATGGCTGCAACACCTCCTTGCTGGCGTCGCAGCCTTGTTAGAACAAGGTGGCCGTCCACCAACCATCCACTACTCCATCCATCTGGATCATCCAGGGTTGTACGG